ATCTGTATCTGCCTACATTTTTTTCTCATGTTATGGCCACGCGCGATACTTTTTAAGAACCGAGGACTTCTCCTTCACACGAGCAGCCCACGTCCTATGCCGACTCAATGTTCTTAGCTGTCTTTTATCGTTCATATCGGATACCCAATGGGCTACGCAGTACTTCTCTGCCTTGGCCAGCTTCTGGTTCCTCGTCACCTATGCAACATTGGCAAGCTTCAGACACTTGAACAGCAACCTAACTCTGCTCATGGTGAAGGTGCTGACAGCCGGTGTCATGACTTCTGTTATAATCAAAACCCCAGGGGTCGTTGGTGGCATTCTTCTGGTTCTAAATAAGTGTTTTGGTGTTGTCTGGGATGTTCAGAAAGTGCATTTGCACGTCTCACTTGACAGGTTCATCCCCATGGCTGGCGTACTGGTTGCAGCGGCGGTCCATCGTTTCACGGTGCTACAGCAGCAGCAGCAAGATGGAAGAAAGAGCATACTAGACAACACTGGCTCTCCGTTCGACAAGCTCAACTCTGCCCTGGACCGGGAACTCGTTGGCATGATCTATCCAGGCAAAGATGCGATTTCCGTCAAATCAATATGGATTGCGTTTTCCGGTCTATACCTCGTCGCCCTTGGTATATTGGGACTTGCAGCCAAGTCAGATAGCGACAGCCGCGCCTACGACGCCTATCACCCCTATGCAAGCCCTTGGGCGGTCCTGGCAATATTGGCCGTCCGGAATTGTCACCGTTGGCTGAGGCAGCGTCAGATGGCTGGAGCTATAGCGCTTGGTCGCATCTCCTTGGAGACATCTCTCCTGAAGAATCACATCTGGCTGGCTGGTGACGGGACGAGCATCCTCCGGATCGGCTCAGCAGGCCGGTATGGAATCATGGCCAGTTCGCTCGCCAGACCGGCAGAGCTGACGGTCCTAACTATTGTGTTCCTGTGGGCAGCTATCAGATGCAGGCATTCTACGCAAAAGATCGCACAATGGCTTGGGCCAAAGGCGGGCGACCAAGGGTCATTGATCAAAGTTCGGCGAGCGTCGCAGGACACGAGCGGCAGGCTCAATGAGGCAGCTGCTGGCCAATCATGGCAGGATGTCGATGCTGAGGAAGCAGGAGTTCGAAGTGAAGACACAGCCATTCCGGAAAGCGATCTCAAGTGGAAGGTTGCGGGGATTATGGGAGTTCTCTGGCTTGGTAACATGGCGTACGGAGATCACTAAATGGCTGTTCGTGGTGTCTGGATCGAGGAAAGTGACGACAAGACACCTAGCATACATGCATCAATCGAGAAATACATCAGCATCATTAAGCCCTGTGCCCAGATATCAATTGGTGAAGACAATATCCCTCTGCCTACCTTACCAAACTCACGGGGCGGTAGATGGCCCCCCCTTGGCATCCTGTTGAGGTTAGAAGATGCTCGAGTCGTGCTCGGTACACCAAACTGCCTACCTGACCAAAGTAGGTACCAGGACGCGCCAGACCATGGGCGACGGAGTAGGTGCCTTACGTCACCACCCTACGCCAGCCGCGACTTCATCTCACCATCATCCATCTCGTCCAGCTTCCTGCGCGGTTTCATATGTTCAATGCACCTGCTTCGTGCGAGCGTGCCGTGTGATAGCCTGTCATTCAGCAGCCGGGATGGCGAATGCACCCTGACAGACGACAAAGGTACCCAAAGCACAAGGCCAGTTGACACTGTTCCCATTGCACGCTCCGGGATCTGCACCATCTTCAAACATCACCTAGCCACCTAGAGCCTCTCGCAACGCGACATCGTTCAATCTTTTAGAATCACTATATCCATATAACTTTTCTTCTTTTTTTTTCCTTCTTCTTTCGTTCAACTGTTGAGAATATCCGTCACGTCGCAAACATGATTCTCGGCCCCGTATCCCTCATCGACTGCGCCGTCTTCTGCGTCTTTCTTGCACCTCAGCTCATCCTCCACATTGGCCTCTTCCGCACAACCTACTTCGCGCTACGCGCTCTGCCCTTTCTGGTGTTGCGCATGCCGGCATCGCTTGTGAAGGAGAGGTACATCCTACGACGCGACCAGCGGTCGCCATTCGTGGCGCGGGCAACGTTATTTGAGGATCTCGTCGTACGGTGCGTGCGGTATGCCTTCGCAGAGATCCCAGCAAATGTCGGGCGCGTCTTCTTCTCCAAGGCCGTGGCGCTGCCGTTTTTACGGTGGAGGATGGCGCGCCATGGGTTTGTGAGGTCGCCCGTCACGTGGAAAGAGTACAAGCAGGAGGTGGGTCGAGAGTTCGCCGTGGACGACTGATCTGTAACTAACAATGTACAGGGACCGGATGGCTTTCGGGGCATCTGGATCAGCGCGGACCCGTCCATGGTGCCTGACATGGTCCTCTATTACGTGCACGGCGGCGGCTTCGCCATGGGATCGACATACTTCTACCTTGAGTTTCTGCTTGCGTGGCATGCGCTACTTTGCAAAGCTGGGTACCGCAACCCGGCCATTTTTGCGCTTGAGTACTCGCTTGTGCCCGACCAAATGTATCCTGCGCAAGTGCACGAGACATTGAGAGGCTATAGACATGTTCTCTCTGCAGTGGGAGATCCCGCGAAGGTCGTAGTGGGAGGAGATTCTGCGGGAGGCACACTCGTGCTCACGATGCTCTTGGAACTCGGCCAGTTGAGCAGCGCTAGGGCGTGTAAAAAGAAGTCCAAGCAGGAGGTGCCGAACAGCGAGCGTCAGCAGTATTGGAGGAGCCCATACGAGACACCCCTGCCGGGGTTAGCGGTCCTCATCTCACCGTGGGTAACGCTTATATCCAACAAGCACGACAACTCAACGAGTGACTACCTCGACAAGTATCAGTTGCACGAGTATGCCATGCAGTATGCCGGCCGAGACCACATATCAGACCATACGGCATCACCGGGCCTGTGTACGGACCGTCAGTTGTGGGCAAATGCCAGTCGCGCTGCGGGTTCTTCGTCATGTACGGGTCTGAGGAGGTGTTTGCGCCTGAGATCAAGGAATTCATCAAGACAGCCGTCCGCTCTGCCGAAGTAGACAGCCGTAAGGAGACGGGAGGGATCCACGCGTGGCCTGTGGCGTCGCTATTCTTGTCGAGCGCGGAGGAACAGCGGCTGAGGGGGCTGAGAACGCTAACTGTATCCATTAGAAAACACATACTCTGACGAGTGGGGTCGACTGGGGAGGAAAAGGTAAAGAAGAGATGGGCGTCAGATTAGATCAAGTTATTCAGGTCCGTCTCAGACCTCGAGCAAGAAACCTCGAAACCAGGGCCGGCGGCAGCGCGGCGCGGCTTCTGCGGTCGTCGGCGCGATGAGCGGTCTCGGGCGTTTTAGGCTCATATAGTATTCATCATACGCACGGACCAAGAGATTAAGAATTTCATAGAAGACGGGGGATCCCTTTTCCCTCCTAGCTGTTCTGCCAAATTTTCGCGCACTGGCGAGGCCATGTCGTGCATGCTGGAGCCGCACTTGTTGATATGTAGCGTGTGCGTCGTGCGTTCTTCGGATGGCACTAGAAATAGTCAACGGTGCAGTTTGCGTGGGTCTCGTCGGGAGCTGAGGCCACGGCCTGCTGCTGGCTGACTGGCTGACTGATGACGGGCAGCTAGCTCGTACTACCAGCTTGTTGACGCGTGGTACCGAGGATGGCGACCGTGCGGCTCATTCGAGGTGAGGACGGGCCATCGTGCCCAGAAGGAACGTGACTGAGATCCTGGGAGTGTCATTAGGGTGAGACGCCCAAGTTCCAGGCCGTCCACTGACACCTTGACTAAGGCATGTGGGTATGGCTGGTAACATGGTTGGGTAGGTGGTTAGAGAGAGCGTCGTGTCGGTCGCAGTATCTTGCCGGGTAGAGGTGGCAGTCACCGTGAAGCTGTCAGACAAGAGGCCAAACGGATGCATGGCGAGTTGGAACAGGCAGCAGCCGAGCATGCCTACTCTGACGAAGATGTGCAGCGAGCGTGACGTGCTTGATTGCCTTCATGTGTGAGAAGAAGTTGTGCCTGGTGCGAGAGAGGTGAGAGGCCAGCCAGAGCCCTGATCTTGATTTACCAGCAAGTGAACGAGAGCTCGAGCTGTGAGCACGTCAGGTGGTAGAGTGCCAAGAGCGCAGCCCATTCATGGTTGGCATCTCGCGTCGGACGATGTCAACGAGGTCCATCTTGAAAAATACCTAGGTGGGTAGGTAGGTTAAGTAGGTAGGCAGGTACATTGCATTCTGTACGAGGTTAAAAAAAATCCAAGGCTGTCATGGCCAGGAGCAGCTGGTCGATAATCGTTCATACCTAACCTGGCGCGTCAAGCCTAGCACTGGGCAAGTACCATGCTGCGGCGAGATGTGAGTGGTTGGGGGCGGTACTCCTGCGGATCCCTGCCGGTTGTGGCCTGGCGGCTGAGCGTGTGCTCCCCCCTTCCCCCCTTCCCCCCTGCCAGCGGGAGCTGTTCTTGCTGGTGCACAGGAGGTGCGCCTGAAGGCGAGAGGGGCCTGAGGGGAAGACTCTCTCACCCACGATGCGCATATAAACGCGACATTTCCCTTCGCCCAAGACGGACCCCCCCGGACGCCCTGCCTGCCCGTCCTCCACCATCAAGACAATGTACTCTCCTGATTCGACCACTGCCGTCATCGACCATTGAGGTTAGCGTCATCACTCTTACTCTCTCACACATTACTTTTGAGAGAGACCGACAATTTTATTATTTCATCTTCTAGAAAGGCCTTGATTGAGTGCCCATCTCTGCTGGGTCCTTCATTTTTTTTTTGTCATTCCCTTTATTCGACTTGCTCAGTCTGGGCTCTCTCTGTGCCTTTGAGTTCACATTCTCTGAGGAAACGTACGGACCACCCCGGCGCCGACTCGCCCCTCCCCACCAAAGTCCACCCAAATCGCGATCAGAACCCTTCCCGTCATCTCACGGAGACGCGTCGACGCACCGACCACACAACACCACCCGAATAGGACTAGCGGTTCCTCGAGCTCGAAGCATCCTTCTCATCAGCCCTGTCATCTTTGGGTCCTTTGCCCCCTCTACCGTTGAGCTTTCTCTTGCTCCCTCGGGACTGGCGTTTTGCTGGGCTTTGTCGGTTTTGGGCCCTGCTTTTCACTGGTCGACCCCCAATCCACTCGCGTGGTGAAGGCATCCAGACTGTCGGATTTATTCCTGTCGTTGCAAGAGCAACCATTCGCAGCTTTTCATCCCACCCTTGCCCGCGGTCTTCTGTGAGGAGACCATTCTCGAGGACACGAGAGGCACCAACTAGTCCCACCTGACGCCTGGTCGCTCTGTGCTTTCTGCTGTACCTAGAGGCATAGTCCTGCTGCGTCCTGCGAGTTGCGCCCGCCATCACGCCTCTTGATAGGGCCCTCTGTCAGTTCCTTGCAGCGCACTTGTCCTCCTTCAGCAGATTGCGCTGTCTTGCGTAGTGGCGGTGTGTTTGCCATCTCCAATCGGACTCTGCCTCCACATTCCCAAGTCGGGCTGCATCTGTACCGTAAATTCACAGGAGACGCGGGACCTCCATTTCGTCAAATCGCCGCCGTATCCCCCTCCATATCAAGCCCCGGAGCGACCGGCCGGCAGCCGAGCTGTGGTGTCCTTGCACCGCTCCTCTTTCCACTCGAACCCCACGAACACAGCCGCCAAGGTAGAGTTCCTCCCTCGCCTCGCACCACGGCACTTATACCTCGAGATCACTCGAGGGGGTAGGGAAGAAACTTCCCTTCATCTCGAAGCGCAAGTCGTCATAAGCTTTCCCCTGGTTGGCTAATCAAACCAAAAAAAAATCCAGCTTGGACTTGAGACTGGGAAATACCCACCAAGGCCGCCTACCCCTCCAAGGAAAAAAAATTTAGAGGCGCGCTTTTTTTAACAAGACCAAAGGCCCCAGTTGTTCCCCCCCCAAAACATTAAAACATGGCAGAGGAACCGTACGCGCCCGAGTCCCCCGACCTCTCTTCTTTCTATTCGGCAGCCCCCACTTCGCGCACCCCTCCATCAGCAGCAGCAGCAGCAGCAGCACCGCTACCACTACCAACGCAACCCCCATTGCACCCGTCTGGACCAGGACTGCAACCGCAACAACATCCGCACCCGCACCCGCACGCACGCCCCCAGCACCTGCACCACCCCCACCAGCAACAGCTTCATCACTTGCAGGCGGCGGTCGCACCCTATGAGTACCCAACCCATTCGCAGCAACTTCCTAGCCCGCCCAACAACCACCATCAACCCTATACAAACCCGCCTGCTCTAGCTCCTGGACCTACAGTTCTTGGACCTGCACAAGCTCCAGACATTGGCCTGGGATCTGTCAAACAAGAGCCCCAGTACCCGCCTGCCGCCATCAAGAGTGAATACCACCACAAGTCTCCGTATTCGCCACCACAGGCCGCTCCTCAGCAGTCTCACTACCTCCCTCTCGAGTACCAGCAGCAACATCAGCAGCAGCAGCAGCAGCATCACGCCCAACACTTGCAACAGCAACAGCTCTCACCGCGACAGCCAAGTCAAGCCTCGCCACCTGGACCAGCATCAGTTTCTGCACAAACTTTCTACGGCCACCAACCTTCTGTGGCTCTCCAGTACCAACAGCAGCAACAACCGCCGCCGCCGCCGCAGACACACCCTGCGCACCAAGCTTATATAAAACAAGAGCCTTTTGGTGCCGCGCCGCATTTCGGCAACACACACCACCGAACACTTTCTCATCCGCAATACATCCCACCCTCGTTGCAGGAACAGCAGCGCAAAGAGAACATGCCCCCGCGTCGCAACACCCAGCAGGCGCCGCCTCCGCCCGAGATTGACCCCTCGCCGGTGCGTACCAAATTCCCGACGGCGCGCATCAAGCGCATCATGCAGGCGGACGAGGAGGTCGGCAAAGTAGCCCAGCAGACACCCATCGCCGTGGGCAAGGCGTTGGAGATCTTCATGATCAACGTCGTCACCGCCGGTGCCGAGATTGCCAAGGAGAAAAACTCGAAGCGCGTCACGGCGCAAATGCTGAAGCAGGTCATCGAGACGGACGGCCAGTACGACTTTTTGGCCGACATCGCGGCCAAGGTGGGAGAGGACGACAAGAAGCGAGGCGGCAGCGGCAACAAGGCCGAGACCAGCTCCGAGGAAGAGATGGAGGTCGAGCAGCCGAAGAAGAAGGTGCGCGGCGGTCGCAAGAAGAAGGCAGCCACGTGAGGCGCCGCACAGGCTCGAAGCGAAGCTTTCATGCGTTGACGGTCTTGTCCAATTAGAATGACACGGCTCACGAGGGATGACGGTGTCTTTATTTTATTTGTCTCCATGATGGATTGATGGAACGGACGGATTTGGGCGTTCGGGAGGGGCTACCCTCGCTGCGACTTGAGCATCTACACCGGCGTTTTGGTCTGCTCAGGTGCCCTCAAAGAGGCACACTGGGGCAAGGCATCTGACGCCTTCCTTCTGTAGCTTGGACCTTGAGGTCGGATTAGCGCGCGTTGAGGTCTATAGGCCATTTGAGTCTTTAGAACGGCATGCAATGAAGATTTTCTCTCTCCCTCTCCCTTGCTTTAGGATTCCAGGCATCATGTTACTTGATACGTCGTTCCTGTCACCCCTCTCACCTCCGTCACATGGGAAGCCATGGTCGAGGATGTAGAAGGAGCAGCGTGATCGGCAGAGATAAGACTGAAGGGTGCGAGATGTGGTGGTCGCGGGAGGCATCCAATGGGGGTCGGGGCCCCATGTAGCTATCCGAGTGGAAGCAAAAACAAAAAAAAAAATGCGCGTAGCGGAGTCCTTCATGGAGCACGCGTACCACCCTAGCCCTTTCGGGAACGAGACTTGGCGGCCAGGAATTCGGAAGTAAGAGGCCAAAACGACATCAGATGTCACCTAATCACGAACCGCAAAGGTGGCTCTGCCTGCTCGTCACTCGTGCTTCTGCTTCGCCGAAGGGGAGGGGAGTGGAGGTGGTGTGCGGGGGCAGACGCGCCCCGTAGACGGAAGAGCGGGTGCTGTGCACAGGCTCTCGACCTATCGCTGCAGCGCCCGCTAAGCCTGGAATAGGAGGCGGGCAGCCTTGCTACTACCGGGACCTGCCTGCACCTTCAGGGCACGGTGGGTAGAGCTGGCACCCTCTGTGGTAGAGCACCCTAGAGAGGAGGTTGCAGGCCGGCCGGCCGGTGCCTGCTAGGAATCGGTAGGTATTGCTCCAGGTGGCCCTTTGGACCTTAGGCCCCCTGACGACTGACTTTGGCTTGACCGACTCGGCTCGAAGCTCCCCCCCCCCGGATCCTACCACGATCGCATTTCGAGATTCCAATCCCAATACCAATTCCAACAACCACGCACCACCCACCATCGCCCTCTTTCCATCGCGAACAGATTCAAGAACAACAACAGCCACCCATAGAGCTCGCCCACCCAGCCATGCTCAACCACCCCAACGTCCAAACGGTCCATGCGCAATACCCATGAGGCCGCCCTAGCTCAGCCTCGCAGTTCTCCCCTCCCCCTTCGCCTCGCCTCGCCTCGCCTCGCCTTAAAGTCTCGCTGGTTCGCTGCGTATAACCAATGTCGTGGGACCTGCTCAAACGCTTCCTCGAGTCCGATGTCTTCAACTCAAATCCCTTCCTCTCCGTCTCGTACCTCTCGTGAGCCATCCTTCTCGTCTCCTCCCTCAATTGCCAGCGCTAACCATCGTGTGTCTCCTCTTCCCAGGCGCTATGCCGATCACGTCGGCATCCACTACGTGCTCTGCAACAAGTTGCGACAGTTCCCTTACGAGGACATTGAGTTCTTCCTGCCGCAGCTATGCCACCTTATAATCAGCGTCGACAATGAGTCCATGGCCCTGGAAGAATTTTTGCTGGACTTGTGTCAGGAATCTGTCACCGCTGCCCTTTTGGTTTGTTGCCCCTCATACCCAGGCAAGGCGCCTCAAGGGGGTGACCGACAAGCAGCTGACTTTATGTTGCAGACATTCTGGCTCTTCCAGACATATCTGCACGACCTCTCCTTGACACCGCAAGCCAAGGCCTTCCAGACATGTCGGCGGGTGTACAACAAGGTCCAGCATATCGTTTTCGGCCTCCCCGATGCCGCTCGACACGAGAGAATCAAGGAGAACACATTGCCCGTCACGGTCCTCGCCAGCTTCGTCCTCGCCAGTGTCGCCGTGCCAATGCTCCCCTCCTGGGCTGGACCTCTGGCCGTCGCGCAAGCTCGCAAGCCCCAGCCGTCCGAGGACCTGATATCCGAAACACGTGAGAGCGCGAAACCGCCAGCCCGCGCCCACACCGTGACTGCCGTGAGCTCTCGGTCGAAGCGCATCAAGGACGGAAACAGGACTACGAGCGCCCCCGACCCAAAGGGCCCGGCAGGACTGCCGCACAGCCCTTCGCAGTCATCGATCGTTCGCCAGAACTCGGGTGATTCGGCCAAGACACCCACGGAGCCCAAGCGACCATCCGCTCTGGCGATGAAGTCACTCGAGGCCCGCCTAAGCTCTTCTTCACTGCCTCTGCCAGAGCTGCGATCGCCGCGCATGGTCACTCGGCCATCGACCCCTGTGTCTGCCGGAATTGTGGCTCGCCCGGGCGAGCTCATGTCCAGGAGGCATTCACACCATCCCAAAAGCGGGCTGGACGTCTCCGATCTCACATGGAACCAAAAAGTCGGGCTCTTGCGGCAGAACTACTTCCGATGCCAGACCCAACTCCTCACAGCACTCGAGGGCATCTCCAATCGCCTCGTCATCGTGCCCAAGCCTGCGCGGCTCAGCGCCTTGCGCGCCGAGCTTGCTTTGATCGCGCAGGACCTGCCGGCCGAGGTTGACGTGCCGGTCATCTGTCCGCCAACGCTCGTTAATGGATCTCCGAGCAAGAGCCGACATCACCGAATCGTACGACTGAACCCTGCGGAAGCGACGGTACTGAACAGCGCAGAGAAGGTGCCCTTTCTACTCATGGTCGAAGTCTTGAGGGACGACCTCTCGTTCGACCCAGGCTCGGTCGACAATCAGAGATTGCTTGCGACGCTTGTGACTGAGGAGGGGAGCTCAAGGCGCATATTCGACTTGTCCGAATCGAAGCGAAGGATACCGGCCCTCGCGCGGGCCTTGGAACCAGTTGATGCCGTGGTCGACAGCGTCTTCGAGCCTGTGTCGGGCGATCTCGGTAGCTCGCCGCTGCTAAGACCATTCGACGACGAGCCGACAAGCAAATACCAGGGTAAGCATATTGCAGCCAACCATCCGCAGCGACTATCGAGCGGCGGCACGACAATGTCCAGCACGGTCTCGGACGTCGCCACCCCTCGGAGTTCGGGCGGCTCCACGCGATCGAGCAGCCCGGGACCGTCGCGCAAAATGACGCTTACGGCCCGCACCAACACATCCGTAGACCAGCCGGATATATCGGCGTTGGCGACACACATGCGCACGGCCTCACAGATGCTCGCGCAGCTGGACGCGACGAGTGGCAAGAGGCCGAAGGGCGAGGTGGCAGCCATCCGAACGAGAATCATTGCCAGCATGCAGACCTTGGAGGAACAGAGTTTCGACCTGGACGATGGCACGGGGCCAACCTTTGACACGATCATCGCCAAGGCTTCAGCGGCGCAGGCCGCCCTCGACCCTGACCTCGACGAGACGACGCCGGCTGAGGCGAATGTCAACACGGCGGCCGGTCTGGCGCGGATGGAGAACGACATCAAAACGGGCGGACTGCAGCGAAAGAGTGATCGGGACGACCCCAGCGCGGCCGTCTTTGGCGAGGCATGGCAGGCCAAAAAGGAGCGCATACGAAAGACTTCCCCGTACGGCTGGATGAAGAACTGGGACCTCATCAGCGTCATCATCAAGACGGGCGACGACCTTCGGCAAGAGGCTTTTGCGTGTCAACTGATCCAGGTGTGCCACAAGATCTGGATCGATGCAGGTGTAGACGTATGGGTCAAATTGATGCGCATCCTCGTCACAGGGGAGAGCTCAGGGCTTGTCGAGACGATCACAAACGGTGTGTCGCTGCACTCGATCAAGCGCAGCCTGACTATGTCCATGATGGAGGCGGTACCAAACCAGCGTCACGACGGCTGGCGACGCTCAAGGACCACTTCATCAAGGCGTTCGGTCCGCCAGAGAGCGAGCCGCACCGAGCCGGCGTTGACGCGTTCAAGCGCTCGCTTGCGGGCATACAGCATCATATCGTATATCCTGCAGCTTAAGGACCGGCATAACGGCAATGTGCTCATCGACAGCGAGGGCCACATTGTGCACATTGACTTTGGTTTCATGCTGTCCAACTCGCCAGGCTCGGTCGGGTTCGAGGCAGCGCCATTCAAGCTAACGCACGAGTACGTTGACGTGCTCGGGGGTATCGGATCGGAGGATTATGATGACTTCAAGCGGCTCTGCAAACAGGCCTTCCAAGGTGAGTCCAGCAGTTGCTCTCATGTCTTGGGAATGTAATTGTACTAAAATATGCGCAGCTCTCCGACGCTCGGCGGACAACATAATTGACCTTGTGGCCATGATGGGTCGCGAGTCCAAGATGCCGTGTTTCTCGGCAGGCGTGACGCAGGCGACGTACAACCTGCGTCAGCGCTTCCAGCTCCAGCTTAGTGCGGACGAAGCTGAGCAGTACGTCGAGACGGACCTGATTGGCAAGTCCTTGGGAAGTTACTACACGCGACTGTAAGTTCCTTTCCTGCGCATGCGGCCCCTGCGCCGTGAAAATCATACCTTGCCTCTCTGCTCCGACGTGCCAGGAACTTGACTGACGTGTTTCCCAGTTATGATACCTTCCAGTATAGGACGCAGGGAATCTACTAGGCCGTGCCGAGCGAGCGAGAGCCACGCATTTGGGTGGCGTTTCGGGGCGGGAATAGAACGGTGGTGGATGCGTGTCTAGAGGATAGCCAGGGGCCCCCAGCTTGCCTTCTCGGAGAGATTTGCCAAAAGGAAGAAGAGGGAGAGACGGTTTCTTTATGTTTGTGCATGCGGCGCATGTGAGTGGACGTGGATGAACAGAAGAAGCATGGCGATTCTGAACCAGACGCCGAGGCGGGGCACCCTGAAAGGGCTTTGAAATTTCAAGCTGCATTGTGGTGTCTGAAACTGACATGGCTTGTTGTCCGAGAGCGTGCGTCGTTGGCGGCAGCCTTGTGCTCACCGCGCCATTCGCTGTTGTCTGCTAGCCATGGTGTGGCTGGCTGCATGGAAAATCGTGGTCGCCTTACGAGCGCTGATGGCTGTCATCCATCTTGGCACAGCCCCCCCTTTCCCACCCCCCCGGGTCGCTCGCCTAGCTACCTTACCATGCCACCCGAGGCGGCTGGTGCCGCGGTCCCTGGCGTTTTTCTTTCCTTTCCTGTCATTGATAGTCCGAAGCTGAAGACCGTGAGGCATCCACACACTGTCCGACCCGTGTAGGCAGTCTGCTCTGATGCCACATCATTCGTCGTCGGGTTTCCCGGTAGAGAGGACAGGCAAGGCTGATAGAGGCGTACGGGGCGATTAAGTTCCCGGGGGGGTTGGCGTAGGTGTGTGTGTGCCGACGAAAAGTGTCGGGGCCGGGGGCATTTAGTCACATATCATTGCATTCGCGGGGGAGAGAGTGTCCGACTGCAGTTCGGTGTCGAGTAAAGGGCCGCCGGCGAGGCTGTGTGTGCGCACTTCATGCTGCCTTCAAAATGAGGGACGCTGCTCTGCGCATGCCGTGGGGGGAGAGGGAGAGATGGGGGGGGGGGCGACATGCGACATGCGACGGTGCACGAGGCTGGCCTGTTATGTTTGAGCCGCGGACTTTTGTTGCCTGTCAGGCGAGACGGCAACTACAGTGTCACTGTAGGATGGAGGAAACTCCGAGTAGAGGTATCGGAGCTCTGAAGGGCAAACGCATCTCGTCCGCTCTGTAAGGTTAGGCACGTTCTCTGTCTGCTAAACCATGAGTCTTGTTGGAGCGTGTCTTGGCCCCCTTCGAGGTTGGCTAATACCAAAGCACCCCTGATGATGCGAATCGCGCTCTTGCCACGAACGGACGCCAGACATGATGAAACTCACTCAACCCCAGGAAACCTTCGAGTCCCACAAGTTTCCGGAACATGTACAATTTGAGGATAAACGTACTCTAAAAGAACCATGCAGAATAAACAACAAGGCCTCAAGATACACCAGCCATCAGAAAAGGAACTGCCATAGACTCCCAAGACACTACCTCCTTATCACCTTTTTTCCGTTTTCACTCTATACATATATGACAACCTTTCAGTGTAAATTGCAAACAGACTCAAAAGACCCAATCAAACGGACAAGCCTCTAATCAGCAATCACGCTTCGTCTTCGTCGTCATCGCCATCAGCATCAGAGTTCGGCTGCTCCGTGATACTCTCCCTCCAGACCTCAACTTCGAAGAACGGCACAGTATCCTTTCCGAAGAAGAAGCTGAGGTCGTCTGCTGCAAACAGAGCCATGTCGCAGGCGACGCCGTCGAGATGCGCCCGGCGCGCCTTGGCCCGGTAGCCGCTCGTGTCCTGCTGACCCACGCATGCGATGGCGCCGACGAGCAGGGCGCGGAGGCTGGGGCGTGAGATGGTTGTCAGGACGTTGACGGGCGCGGTTTCGTTGTTGGCTGCCGCGTTGATAGCCAGGCGGACGGCGAGGCGGACGGGCAGGAGGGGTGGGATGAGCGGGGGCACGCGGGGGTGCGTGGTGAAACGGGGTGGGGGAGCTGCTTCTTCTGCTGCCCGCGAGGGCAGGGCAAGGCCTTTTGTGCCATGGGCCGAAAGCCTGGGAGCTGGATGAGGCGGAAGACGGGGAGGCGGCGGCGGAGGTGGCGGCGAGCTCTGATAGCGGGGAGCTGAGTCGGACAGTGAAGAGGAGGGCAAAGGAGGAGGAGGAGGAGCTGGGAGGGAGACGGGCCGGGTCGTGTTTTGACCGGTCTTGTACCTGTTCAGAAGTTTCTTCGCACGGGTGATCTTGGCCTGCAGTTTGAGTTCTTCCCAGTCGGAGTCGTCGGATGAACTGTCGTAGGCCGATCCCTCGGACTGTCTCGTGGCGACGGGCGGCCTGCCTGAGGGAGTAGGTGGCGAGACCGTTGACGTTTTCTTCAAGCTCAGGTACCGGTGAACATGATATGCTGACTTGATGAACAGACCCTTAAGTGCCAGTTCAACACTATATCCTTGGTCTGTGAGAACGACCGTCTTGCAGTTGTTTCGTGACTGAACTGCCAATGCGTGCCAGACTTTTGCCGTCGGGTCTCGAGACGTGACGACGCTGATGTGAGCATCAGACGGACACGAAAAGCTAAGGTTATCTGTGGCCTGTCAATCAGCGAGCTGGCCATGCGAGGAGCGACCTTCTCAGTTGTCTGTCGAGAAGAGGATGAACGACACCGACTGAAGCAGACATACCGGAGATTTGCTGCCGAAGATAGCTCCAGGTCTGCAACTGGGACTCGGGTGACATGTTGTGTCCACGCATCGGCGATGTCGAGGAGAGTGGGATAGGAGTCGTGACAAGCATAAAGGGTCGTTGAGGAGGGCTTCCGCATGTTCGGATCACTGAATATGTCACCAGAGAGATCCACACGGTCAAGGTGGAATGGATGGGGTAGGGTATTCAATACCCGAGAACGATGAGGGAGAGCAAAGATCTGAAGAAGGAAGACGCTGGGTACTTATTGATGTGCGCTTCAGCGACCATATTCATCGGGTCCGACCCTGTCGAGAGACGGCGACCAGGAGCGAGGTACCTTAACGGGAAGGAAGGTACCTCGTCGTGAAGGTACCTTGAAGGGAAGGAAGGTACCTTGTCGGGAAGGTACCTTCAAGTGAGGGAACGGTGCTTGTCAGACGGTGCGCGGCTCTCAAATCAGAGCGGGCAAGGGGGCTGGCCACAAGTCAAAAGTGAGGCGGACAACTAGCCAGCCAACAACTCTACTTGACATTCAGGCTCGTGCCGAAGGCGAACACAGAAAAGGTCTTAGACCTCCCATATTTATTGTGCCATCAGACCGGCGAGCAGCAAGTACCACATGACGACGCTCATCACCACGGCACACACAGAGGGGCGGGGTCATAGACCGACCCGATGATGATGCTTTTGCAACATCGGCATGTACCCCAAATGCCAGGTCAACCCATGTCGGCGAGGCGTCGGACGCCGTTCGGCTGGCAGCCTACGGCAGCCGCGGCTACAAGCCTGTTGCCACCAAACGTGAAGCGGCTGACTACCTAAAGTCATCCATCCGGGCACTCTGAAGACAGCATGTACTGGTCCGCTCGCCCATCGGGAGCTCACCTTCTGCTGCCGGACCTTCTTCTCAAAGTCGAAAGGAATGGCCAACTAGCACAAACGACAGGGTAGTTTGGGCAACAAGCAATGGTGTCAGACAAACAACGACGAACAGGAGGGGGTAGGAACTCAAAAAAAACGAAACCAGTGGCATCGTCATGCAGAAGGAGTCGAGTAGTGTTGAGGAGCATGCCGCCACGCCGACACATACACGCACATCGCACCTTGCATATGGTTCGACCGGCATGAAAGCAGCGTCGTAACGCGCGCCATGCTGCTGTAACCTCCCGCATGCTGAACGGTGAACGTCGGTGAACCAAGTGGCGCGAGGGTCCGGAGATTGGAATGTGTCTCCTAGGCGGTATGGCGGCGTACAACCCAGAGAATCTGCTCACAGTGGCAGAACTCTTGCATTGCTTCGCCCGGTGTGGCGTGACGGCCAGGGAAATCCATGTTGTCTCGTTTCCGCGTCTCCCCGCCTCTGCCAGGTATCCGAAAGAAAATCAGTCTCCCGCCCATCTTGCCTCACTTAATCAGGCGTCTCAATCAGTGCGACAAACTCCCTGGCCGTCGCCAGTCCTTATTGTCGAAGGAGATGACTGCCACATCAGGTTCTCGAACACGCAACGAATGTTGGGCAGCAAAAACAAGAGCCCGCTGGTGTCGTCCCAAGATGTAAGGCGTGGACGCCATACAACGACAACTGAGGAGTGCTTGGCGTCGTTGTATGGTGTCCACGCCTTACATCTTGGGACGACACCATATGCTGTCCAACTTGCAGGCGGAATCAAGCAGTGATTACAAGGTGACGGCTGTTCTTCTGAAAACCAGGGTCCGGATCTTATCAGTGAAATGTCAGCCCTGGCCACTTGACTCAGCGACAGATCATACCCTAGTACGGGCCGACGCAGAGCCAAATGCTGGAGTTCTCGTCGCCTAGTCAGGCAGCCGACCGACAGGCGGCATGGAACCTAAGACAGAACTGATCACAGCTCGAGATACATCTCACAAGGTTGGGCATTCAACTCCTCTGCGCATGGGGAATCCCTGCTCCGGCAGTATCCATAGATTTTGCCAATAATGTCAATCACCTTGCTGCCTCATCCCGGGGCTGTAGTGCATCCAAACCTCCTTCTCGTCCCAGGATGACTCCATGCTTGCCTTCGTCGCTCGTGGTCGTATTCCGAACCCGGTCATAACACCGGTACTCGCCTCTCACCCTAGGCTACCTGGTACTACTATATTACATCTGCAAAGCAGTCAACCGCGCAGTGACCGCCTCCACGAGGGCAGTCTCGCGGTCCAAAAGTCCGCGAACCTGTCTTAACTTGGCCTTCCGGACCTCCGAAGGTATCCTGAGATCGCCTGACTGTGAGGCCGAAAGCTCTTTACCCTCTTTGTCGTTGGCGCCCTCGGCAACCTCGCTCTCTTTTTGTATCCGTGCCACCTCACCCACCAATTCCTCACGCAGTTGTTGCACAGCTTGCACCCGCTTGGACATTTGCGACTGCGTCTTGGCAGTTGGTGCATCCCGCGACGTTGAGCCCAACAAACTGGCCTCCAGACTTTTGACTTCCTCGACCAATGCCCTCTCTTTGGTGCTGAGCTCACGTGTTGCAACTTTGCCTGCGTGCTTCCTGATGCGTTCCAGGCGTTCACCAAGCTCGCGTTGCCGGTCCTGTGCCCGGGCGATACGACGCTCAAATCTGGCCTCGTCGCTCTCGCCCTTACCCTCGCCCTCTTTATCGTTGCCCGAGATCCTGTCAATCTTGTCCTTGACTTCGTTGGCTTTGTAAATTTGATCCTTCAGCTCCTGTTGCAAGGTGCTGCAACGTCGGAAAAGCTCTGCCACGGCAACAGCCAGCTTGTGCGTGTCGTCGCCGAGTACCCTGTGGGCATCCGTCAAGATCTGCAACGTCACTGGCGATAGCCGCACCTCCTGATTGAGTATCGTGCGATGACGCGAGCTTCGCAGCATGGAAAGAAGCTCTGGGAGGCCAGACTGTTGACCAAAAGCATGCGAAGGCTGGAAAGCTGGGCGGGGCTCGTAAAAGTCCAGGGGTTGCATGTCTGCCATTTTCTCCTCGTGCGAAGGAGTCTCCTGGCGAACCGGACTGAAGTCTTCTTCAGGGGTCTCAAACGTGAGGGCGATGGGCTCGAATGCCGTTCCTGACAACAGGAAGTAGCCCAGGTCAGGATCGCGAATGGCGGCAGCAGCGGCAAGTGGGACCAAGACATCAGCAGATGGCTGCGTGTATAGTCTTTCGCGGGTCGAGTTTTGTCCGTTGACAAGGAGTCCCAGTCGAAAGTCCGCCCCAGCCTCTACATCGCCCTGCAACTCGCCCTCAAGGCGGAACACCCAGGGCGACAACGAGATGTATGTCAAACCAGCGTGATGAGAAATAAAGAAAGAATAGCGCGATGTGACATCTGCAGAGAACATTGGCCAGCTGTCTTCCGCGACCTCGGTCGGCCCCATAGTGTCGATCGATTGGAACGTCAGTAGGGATGGGGGATCGGCAAGCTGAGCGAGGCGACTGATCCTTGATTTCTTGCCTTCGGGGGCAGCCATTGGGCCTCGACGCCCTCCAAGGTCAAAGCAACAACTCTGACCTGGCCGGGATGAAGAAAAGAAAGGCAGACGATTGACAGGGACAGGCCTTCTTGTTCGCCTTCGTCCATATCCAATAATTCATCCTCACCCATCATGAGCTCCTCCGTATCGATTTTCTTCCCAATAACATGGATATCGGTCAGGAGACCATCAAGGTCATCGCCTTCAGGGTCGGCGAGGAGATCAAAAGGACCTTGCAGGCGGGGCACAGCGCCTGGCTTTGATGGCCGATTGTAGATTTCCACAGAAGGTTCGGCGATACCCGCCTCGATAATGCGAGGCTCTTGTGAGTCAATCTCACCCATCCACTCGAGCTGCTGTTGGGCTAGAAGCCTGGCATGCTCCGTAACGTCAGGGTCATCTTCTATCGCGGCGACCTTGGCGACGATCGAAACGGAAAGCGACGGGATCAGAGTAGGAGGCGGCGCCCAGCGTTCGGGAAGCAGAGGGCACAGCGCGTACACGTCTCCCTCAGTCATGGCAACCCAGAGCGTCATTGGGCTCCAACCGCCCGATCCACGCCCGGCGAAGCATGCCGAGGCGACCTCCATCTCATAACTATCGGGCGAAAATGCTGTGCCGGCAGAGGTTGACGCCGTGAAATCCTGGTCCAGTGTTTGACCGTCTGCGAGCTTCTTCAGGTCGATAGATACGGTAGGCTTGTCGGTGGACCATCGGTTCTCAACGGAAAGCTCCCAGAGCCGCACGGTGGCGTCCGTCGTCACCGTCACCACGCAGGAGCTCTTGACCCCCAACGGGTGCCACAGGGCAGAGGCCAGTGGTGCCGCAGTCGAAACGTGGGTGGTCGGGCCAACCATGCGAAAGTTGGTTTTGAGAGGTCCTGTGTCATCGGATGTCAAATGCGAAGGATCGGGCAAGGCGCAGACGTGGATGGTGTGCGAGGTCAAGACGGCCAGGTGGTTCGAGTCGGGCGATATGATGAGCTGTCGGATGTCCATCGCGACGGGTGTCTTGATGGTCTAGTCCTTTTGTTAGCCAATATCTGTACCCCGAGTCAAATGTGTCCTACACGAAAGCCCTCAGCTGCTGCGACTTCCTCGATTGAGGGCTGCAGATCATCTGAACCCTCCCTCTTGATCTTGCTGGCGGAGCGTCCGCCAGGGTGTTTGGCAGTCCATTTCTCCTTCAAGTACGCCAGGTCGCCCCATCGCAATTCTTTGCCGACGGCGACAAAGACTTCAGTGCCGCGACGAGCGATGGTGCGTTTGGACCCAGGAATGTTCTGCTTTTTAGAGTTGTAGGGTGATGCAGCGTCTGCAGATGGAGCAAATAACCGCTGACCAGGCCCTTGCGACAGCCATGGAGCCGTATAGCTCTTAATCTTTGGCATAGCGGCCGTCTGACTGGAAATCTTGTCCCCCGTCGATGGTACAAAGAACCGGTGTGCCTCTCAGAAGGTAGTAGCTCTGGACGGTGAGCTCGGTGCGGTATGGCGAGTTGGGAAGATGCGAAGTTAGCCCAGCCGCCGGGATGGAAGGTGTGCAAGACGAAGCTTGCCCCAAGCAGCCCAAAAAACATAGCCTAGCGCGATGCAGTTGACCGGACAGGCACGACCCACGGACAGGGAAGGGACCACACACTCACCGAGATCGGCTCCACTTCCGTGCGCCCGGCTCTGCTCTGACAAGCTTAAGCTTCATAGACTTCAATTGGTGTCTGTTCCTGCCAGTGCCTGCTCCTGTTCAAATCGAGTTTATCTTTGTCGCCTCAACCGAGACCACGCATACCTCTAATTAGTTATAGACATCCCCAACGCCAGAGCTCATCAGGTATCGTCTCAGAAAGATCGCGAACGGCTGCAGCGCACGCATCGCCACGGCAGAACGATAGCCCCTCTACCACCATGACCCAACACATTCGCAGTACCGTCGAGCGCCTCGACAGGCCAAGTGCCTACTATCACAACAAGGTGAGCCGCTCCTATGGATGGCGTTTCTGGATACTACATATCTGACAACCCGCAGAACAAGCGCAGAAGATACAACGACCGCGAAGAGGAGGCTGAGGCGCCTCCTGCTCCCCAGGAAGACCCTCTCGCCAATTCAACGACCCTCTACGTCGGCAACCTGTCATTCTACACCACCGAGGAGCAGGTGTACGAGCTGTTCGCCAAGTGCGGCGAGATCAAGCGCCTCGTCATGGGTCTTGACCGCTTCAACAAGACGCCTTGCGGGTTCTGCTTCGTCGAATACTTCACCCACCAGGACGCGCTGGACTGCATGAAGTACATTGGTGGCACCAAGCTCGACGAGCGCGTCATCCGCACGGACCTGGACCCTGGTTTCGAAGAGGGCCGCCAATACGGCCGTGGCAAGAGCGGAGGACAGGTGCGCGATGAGTATCGCGAAGACTACGACGAGGGACGCGGTGGTCATGGCAGGGCGCTCGAGGCGGAGCGTCTCCAGGAAGTGCAGAATAACAACAGGGGTGCCGAGGCTGAGTATGGACGCACAAGGTGAATGGTCAAGAAAATAGTGTGAGCTACATCTGATAGGGTAGGAGAGATACCCTCAGCGAGCTGACAGGTGAATATTTCATGACATCAAGAAGACCTGCAATCGAGTGCCAGCATTCATTCATCCGGTGATGTTTTGCAACAAATTCAATTCCACACCCTCTAGCTGATTTAAGGTATCCCAGCAAAACCTATACATATTGTACACAGACGTTTCTTCGGCCAGCCCTCATATGCGCCATTGGCTCGAGTGTATTCCGTCCCCGCTGTACATGAGGCGGTGCATCCATCGACACAGGCCATGATTATCCTGCCAAAGCCCCAATCAAATCGAATGTTGCTAGGACGACGCCCACTGCCGCCAGAGGAGAACAACGCTGCTCGTATAGTCGATACTGCCCCCACGAGCGTCCATCTAGTAACCAGGAGGGTTGACTCTCTGCGAAACCCTCGTCCACTTCGGCAGCTCTGTTCGAAGATTAGCACCCGCCAAAGCCGCACCTAAATCCCATCTCCAAACAAGGAAAAAAGCTCACTGTGAATGCCCTTGCGATACCTCTTCTCCTTCCGGTCGAACATGGTGTACTTGTCCTTCGGCAGCATCTCTTGCTCCGTCGGCATCTCAGCCTTCCACTGCTCCACCGCCGCGATCGTCGCGCCGTGCCGCGCCAGCGCCGCGTCCACTGTTGCGATGACGGAGTCGACGGCTCGGAGGCGCTCGCGGTGCCGGCGCTTCTGAAACTTGGAGAGCCTCCAGGGGATCTTCCAGAGGAGGCCGCCCGATAGGGGGGAGGTCATGCGGAAGGGACCGAACATTGTCGTGTTTGCTGCGGGCGTCTTCGTGCCCGGCGGATTCTGGGGGGGAAAGGGCAAGGCGATTGAGAACTCTTCGGCAGTCAAAATTGTAGAATGATTCGCCTTAGGCCGTCCGCAGTATGGTCGCGTCGTCGTCGTCGTCGTCGGTCGTCTTGTCGTAGTAGGTTGGTCAAGCCTGTAAATTTTGGATGGAACCTGCACGCAGCTGGCTGTCAGGCAGTCAGGCAATCCGCTACTCGCTGGCGGACTTTTCCCGCTCCCCTGCATGGGCCACGACCACCAATCCACTGGCTGGCCGGGCTGGCAGGGGCAAGGCTCCACCCCAGCACAGCAGGCGGCCCCGCGTCTCCGACCCGGTGAGAGGGCCAGTGAGCACTACACCGACAGACAGCCAGCCAGCGAGGCAGAGAGTGCCAAAGGGGAGCAGTCTGGTCTCAATCAGAGCAAGCGAAAAACAGCAGACCGACGAAACAACGCGACCCGACGACTTCAGCGGCAGCGGTCCCAACCCATCAGTTCGCGACGACTCTCCCACTCCCGCCTACAGCGACGACCGCAGGTGACCGATCCATGGTCCCCCGACCACAGCCATGTCGTACTACTTCGTCATAGTCGGCACCCTGGACAACCCCCTCTTCGAGCACGAGTTCGGCACCTCGAAGCAGGGCGGCGACGGCCAGTCGCGCTTCAACGAGCAGGTCCGCCACCTGAACCAATTCATCCTGCACAGCAGTCTCGACATCGTCGAGGAGGTCCAGTGGGCGCAGGGACAGATGTACGTTCTGGCTCACCCCGCCTCCCCAAAGCAGTGCTCAGCTTTTCCCCATGCTGCCTCCCTCCTTCTCTCACATACAAGCGCCGGCGCGCGCGGTTCTGGCGACGCCTCGCGCTGACCGTCTGCTCCCCAAATAGGTATCTCAAGGTCGTCGACAAGTTCTTCAACAACTACGTCTCCTGCTTCGTCACGGCCGGCAACGTCAAGTTCCTCCTCCTCCACCAGCCCTCTCTGCCGCCTGGGCCGCCGACATCGCGGTCCTCGACGGCCATCGGGGCGAATCCCACGAGTCCCGCGACGGAGGAGGCGGTTCGGAATTTTTTCACGGAAGTGTACGAGAACTGGATCAAGGCAATCATGAACCCTTTCTACCAGGTCAACATGGAAGTCAGGAGTCCGGTGTTCAGGCAGAGGGTAGCGGCGGCGGGGCGGAAGTACCTGTAGTCCATCCACTGGATGTTATGGAAATAAGCTGTTGAAACGCAATGATGAGGACAGATACCCGTATGCAGAAGGATGTAAACACGACGACGCGTTCAATTCGAATCACTGGTCAGGGTCGCGGGTCATCACATGCAGCACAATCACTATAGGTAGGTGAAGAGGTGATTAGGTTACCAAATGTGGTAATAGTGGTATTCATACGGAGGGCATCATCCTGACGCCTCCTGCTATCGTATCCCCGAGTTTCATGATCCGCCAACGCCATATAGAACCAAATCCCGCCGGGCCATACCGACATGTGTGGGATACAAGACCAAAAGAACCAATCTACACGTCACGCCGAGTCCGAGCCGAGCCACCCGATCACCAGAGACCAGGCAGACGCGACGAGAAGAACGCGAGCAGAGGGTATCGTATGTGGGTGCAGAAAAGGCAACAGCATTCCGAGGGAAAGCTGCTTAACCACCGAAACCGTAGAGAGTGCGGCCCTGGCGCTTGAGAGCGTAGACAACGTCGAGAGACGTGACGGTCTTGCGCTTGGCGTGCTCAGTGTAGGTGACGGCATCACGGATGACACCCTCAAGGAAGGACTTCAGAACACCACGGGTCTCCTCGTAGATCACTGGGAGAAGAGCACGTCAGTATGGTTGCGTGTGGATGTTTGACTGGCGATAAAACTTACTGGCAGAAATACGCTTGACACCGCCACGACGCGCGAGACGACGGATAGCGGGCTTGGTGATACCCTGAATGTTGTCACGAAGAATCTTGCGGTGACGCTTGGCGCCGCCCTTGCCGAGACCCTTGCCGCCCTTGCCGCCTGGAATCGGTCAGTACGTGTTGACAGTCAAGCAGAAGGCATGTGGCCGATGCGTTGCGACGGACGGGAAACGCGGTCGCGAAACGCGCCCCTCGACCGACGACGACGCACTGGCGACGACCTAACGACAGAGGAAAAGATAGTACTTACGTCCAGTCATTTTGAGGGTGGGGTGAGAGTGTGATGAAGTGGGTTGTTGATAAACGCGTCAAAAATTGACGATGTTGATGATGACGTTGGTAGAGACGCGGTGTTGTGAGATCGTAGTGGAAGAGGGAAGAACGAAGAGTGGAGGAGGCGAGGGGAAGGCGATAAATAAAGGTGCGCAGGGGGGAACAGTTACTGATTGCAGGCGCAGGTGGTGCATCAGATCAGCCAGAACGGCGCTAACCTGTTTTGGGTGGGGCAAGAAAATGAGGACATGCAAAATGGCAATGGCCGTCCCTATTTTCTGGCTTGGATTTCGCAAGGCTCAGTCGGGTGCCCAGGAGGCGCGTTTCTGTTGTCTGCCGGGGTCTGGGGTGCGCGCACCCGTTGGTGCTTGTTTCGGAGGGTGGAGGAGGGTGGGGCGGGCCCGACCTGGTCCGAGCTCTCTTCCTGCACACGTGCTGCACCTGCCTGGCCCCGAGTTCATTGGATGTCAAACATCCCATCGAGTTCGACCCCCCCCCCCCTCCATAACCTTCGCGACATGGGTCATCACTTCACCCGCGTGTCCACAACGAGAAGTGGTACTGAATTGACGAGCGCTGTCACCAAACCTGTTGCTGTTTGTCAAACGTCGACAGGCACTTTATTCCATACTCTTGAACGTAGGGGCAAGCGCCTTCCCAGCCCCACCTTTCTGCGGATGCTGAGCTTTGGTATTTGTACACGAAAAGCATGTTGCCTCCTCCAACTGCCCGCAATGTGGCTCACCCAACCGCCCCTCAGTTCCACCTTGGAATTTCGTTGCTTTCCTAAACGCCGTACCATGCCATGCGTCGTCGAAACGTCATGTCGTGCCGTCGTACTGGCGGTGCCATAACACCGCTCCCCGCAATGAGGAGACCAGTCCAATCTCCTCGATCCCAGCCCAGTCATTCCACACCATTCAACCGACCATCGCGCCGGCTTCTCAAACCATTACTGCCAATGTAGTGACACACCTTTGAGGTACGGCTCCCAAAAACAAAATTCGAATAGGCCTCAAGTCATGAGGGAGTCTTCCATCCCCTGATCGTCCTCTATACTTTCGATCGCCTCCTTGACTTGTGGGCTTGCCTGCTTGCCTGTTAGCGGCGGCACGTCTCGTGAGTCACAACGAGGCACCCAGCTTACCTTCGGATCCAGTGCGAGAGCGACGGTGAAGTGCCGCACGGCCGACTGCTTCTCGCCAGTGCGAATGTACATCTTACCCAAGAGGAAATGCACGTTTGCCTCGTCAGGGGCCAAATCTTTGAGTATCAAAAGTTCCTTTTGCGCGGCTTCAAGCTGGCCGACAGCCAGCAGAGCTCGAGCTTTTTGGTACCGAGTCTGCGCAGCTCGTGGTGCCAACTCGGTGGCCTTGGTGAAGGCCTGGAGTGCCAGGCCCATCTGCTTTTGCTTTTCAAGGACACTGCCCACGCAGCAGATGAGCACTGCATTCGTCGGGTTGATCATGGACGCCGTATGGAAGTGGATCCTAGCCTTGTCGTAGTTGCCTAGCTTCTCATGCACCTTGCCCATGCCGTAGTAAGCGTTGTAGTGGCGCTGGTCGGCAGTAATTGCCTGTCGGTACGCTCCCAGTGCCTTTTCGTACTCTTGATTCGCAACGTGCTCGTGACCCTGCAACGTAAAGGCATAGGCAAACTTGGGGTCAACCTGAGTCGCCCGTTTGAAGCACCGCAACGCTTGGTCCGGCTCTCTTGCCAAGGACCATGCATTTCCTAGCGTGCACCACGCTTGCGGGGCCAGCCATTCCGAGTCGATAAGCTCGTGAGCCAAAAACGAGAGATCAGTCTCGCGTTTGAGGTGCCACAGGATTGTAGAGTAGACCTCCATGTCTTCCATCCGCGAAGGTGCCAAGACTCGCAGTTTCCTAAAATACTTCTCTGCCTCGACGTACGCCGCTTGCTCATAATGAGCTTTTCCTACTTGTGCCAGGACCCAAGGCGTCTCCTGCTGGCTCCTGGGTAAGCTGCTGTAAGACTGCACTGCATCGTGCCCGCGGAACTGTGAGGCAGCGAAGTACCCGGTCCCTGTCTTTCTCAGCAGGTCCATGATCCACTTCAGAGACTCCTCAATCTTGAGATGATCCGGCTCTTGGGGGGGCGGCTTGACGACAGCTGCTTGGACAGCGGGAGGCTCTTTAACACGTGAGGTCTCGGCGTGGTCGACATCCATGCTATGCTCTTCTTGACGGGGGTTCCGGTTGCCGCTAACAACTCTGCCCACGCTGGAGCCACTAGATCCGGGACGGAATGCCCGGGAGATAGGGGGCCTAGCCTTCTTCAGTTCCCGGGTGGCTGTGGCACCGATAGTGGATGCGCCGGAGTTCGTCTTGGCGGCTGACGGCTTGAACATGTTGAGGCGCGCACTTCTTCGGGTGACGGGCTCCTCGGACTGCTGCCTGGAGACGACTGGGTGGCCGGATACCGTTCGTTTCCTTTCTGCTGCAACAGCTGACGATCGCGACAGGCCGCTCAGCTGATCAGGAAGAGTCTCAATGGGCTGCTCCTGGCCCTTGTCTTGGGACCGCACAGCTCGCTTCGCGCCCAGACGGTACCCCATCCTTGGGGGCGGTGCCTCCATGAAGGCACCCTCGGTTTGCGGCGCAGGTGCTGTTCTGGTCCTACGGGTTGGTGCCGCTGGTGGTACGTCGCTGACTGCAAAATTCGAGGCCGTGCGTGCAGCATGCGCGTCGACCACTGGTAGAGGACCCGTTGGTGTTTCCATGACGTCGATGGACCCGTTGCCCGCTAAGGGATGCGCCAGCCGTGTCCTGGCAGCTGTTATCTTGGACATGAAATCATTCTCCTCTGACTCCGCAGGACCCGCGCTCAGTGCAAATGCTGTGTCGTGGTGGCCGGGCACACGTGATAGCTCGAAAGGATCTGCCACCTCCATCACATTACGAGCGGAGGCCTTCTTCGTCGTGGGCTCAAGGAAGTTGACGGCCGAGCTGTCTTTGAGATCCGCCGAAGCAGCCATCAAGCCCTGCGTGAAGGCTTGCGTGAGAGTATCGTTGACTCGGAAGATGTTGGCTGCCCTAACGGTGACACCAAGATCACAAAGAGCTTGGAATGCGTCGAACATGAACGGGTTAGTTTTGAGTGCATTCTCAAAGCATTCGGCAGCCTTTTTGCGATCATCGTATGCGCGGTAAAGCTTGCCGAGTAAGCATAGCACAGTAGCCTCGTCTGGGCACATCGACCGCGCAACTGCGGTATGCTTGCCGAGGTGCGACTTGTTCACCCAGCGATCGCGTGTCTTCTCAAGAACGCTGATGCCGTCGCGGTAGCGCTCCAGGTGAAGACATGATTGGGCAAAGACCCATATTGTGCCCAGGTTAGATCCCCGGTTGGCAGACGCCCTACTGAAGTCAAAGGCTGATCGATGGTCGCCGAGTCGGAAATGGCATAAGGAGAGAAGATGTGTGGACTCGCTCGCTTTCGGGTCCTGGGCAGCAAGCTTCTCGGCAAAGAAGAGTGCATTCTCGTAGGAGTTGTTGTCGAGGTGGTAATATACGACCTGGCGAAGAAGACCAGTGATGGCTGTACTTGACGGGGCCATGACGACGACTGGAATTCACGTCGAGAATATTAAGGGGGCGGTACTATTATCGTCGGCGAACCAGGGCCATGGAAACGGTCGAGTTGGGTGATGCTCGCCAGAAACAGAATCGCTGGTGAACTTCCTCGTCGCTGTTTCTGGTGGTCGCGGTCGCTGCTGGGGCGGTGGCTGGCGAACGATAGCACGACCAACAATCAGTCATGCGGTGGGATGCGACGAACAGCAAGGCCAGCCGATGTCGCCAGGTGTAGCTTCTGGCAAGGGTTGCTCGGCGATGAATCGCCTGCAATCTGCCTGTATTCGTCGTCGTGGCAAGCCCTAACAGTTCATGCACGCTTCACTTGTCCAGGGCGGTCGAGGGTTGGTTGATGTAGTAGGTGGGGTGGGTGCGCTCTCGTTCGTCTGTTTGGGTACCGCGGACGGGCAGTCGCGAAGCAGGTGGCGAAGCAACCGTTTGGACCGCAATCGCTGCTGGGACAGGAGGATAAAGGTCGCAGGTCGTGCTGGCCGGTCGAGGGGTCGCGATGATGGTCGAATGGTGGGGCCCGGTCTGTTTGGGTTTTCTCGACAAGGGGGAGAGACAAGGCACGGTGAAGGCGCACTCGAAGCAGAAAAGGGACAGCTAGGAAGCTCCCGTCGGAAGGTAGAGGGACGAAGAAGGAACAAAGGGGCCCATTGAAGGGGTTCTGTATCAAGTTTGACGAGCTCACTCGATCTTCGGCTACGCCCACCGGAAAGAAGGGACAGGACACGAAAGGGGAGACCGAGTCGTGAGGATGGCTCGGGCGGGTTCGTGGGATGTTTGGTGTTGACGGCGGCGACTGTCTTCGCGCTGTGGTTCGGTGGCTGGTTGGCTGCGATTGGCTGACGCAACTGCCTGGCAAGCTCGCCCTGGCAACAGGGCAACCGCAACGGATGCGGGTGCGTGAACGTCCAGTGAGCAGGGAAGCGCCCAGCCGCTGGAACGATGATGGATTGCCCCATTTCGTCGACAGGGGTTCACACCTCTGCACCCGCCCCGTTGCGCCTGCATTCGACTGACACTGCACTGGCAAGCGCCAGCCAGCGTGTGTCAGGGCTTGAGGGGTGCCAGGCATGCGGCGGATAGGCTCCAGCCACCAGAATTCCTCCGTTACGCCACATCACCACGTTGCCTCGCTGAGCGGAAACGTCGAGAAGCATGTCGTCACTCACCAGACACACCTCACGAGCTCACATGCAGCTCCATCCATCACACCCACACACCGGTCCTTCTCGACGGCGCTTTCACTGAAGCTCAACTCACAATCACCGATCACCGCCCCAATACCAACACACGGCGCTTTCCATCCTCGGGTTGAAACGCCTCGCATCGCCAAGCAGTAATCCCCTCATCCCACCACTCCTACCACCATGGCCCAAAAAGCAAAGAAAGACCGCGCCAAGTCCAACACGGCGGCTCTCAACAACCTTCACATTGGCTCTGCCACCGTCAACGTTGCCTTCCTGGCTTTCCACTTCCTCTTCCGCTCCCGCTCGCTCTTCTGGTACTTCCTCCTCTCGGCCCCGGCCTTCATCTGCCAGTTCGTCCTCGAGCGCTCCGGACGCCCCACGTACGACGCCAGCGGCGCCCTGCGCACCGCTGGCGAGGACCTCGCCTCTGCCGGTCTGACCGAGTACATGTTCGACGTTATCTGGGTCACCTGGGCCTCCGTCGTGGCCGTCATCCTCTTCGGCAACGGCGGCTGGCTCCTCTGGCTCGCCGTCCCTGCGTACGGCGCCTATGCCGGCTACGGCCTCATGGGCGCCGCCAAGGGCATGGCCGGCCTGGGTGCCGCCAACAACGCCGAGGGGGCCGAGGCTGCGCCGGCCGGCAACAGGCGGCAGCGACGTGCTGCTTAAGCAAGCCTGGAGGGGAGCGCGGTCCGATGGGCAAGAGAAGAGATCTCGGTCTCGCTCGAGGGAACGCTGCAAGTTTTTTCTATTCTTTCCTGGTCTAAGTCTTTGTATCTGTCGTGTGCACATTGCTCAACCCGCCGCCTCTCTGGTTCCGGCGCCGTCACTCGCCACGAATGCCATGGCTTTCTTCCTTCAGCCCACGAACTTTCAGCAGCTCGGGCTCGGCGTTCCGGAACAGCACGTGGAAGTGCTCCAGCGCGCGGACGCTCTGCAGGGCCACCCAATTCTTGAACCACAGCACGCGCTCCTTGCCGTCTGCTCCCAAGGCGTCTGCGAAGTATCGGTCGACGAACTCTTGGATCAGCCGCCTGCTCTCGGTCGTCACGTCGCCCGACGCAGGGTCCGTCTCGATGGGGGTGCGCGACCAGACGACAATGTGGGTGATCTCGGACGTCAGGCCGTAGGGCCAGTCGTTGATGAGGACGCGGTAGTCGGCCGGCTCGGCCAAGGGCACGGTTGAGGTCGGTGTGAAGGGCGGGGCGCCCCAGGCTTTGGGGAGGCGGTGGGCGAGAAGGTAGTTTGTCATTGAGCCATACTCGGCCTTGGTTTCCGTCGTCCACTTCATATACCGGCGCAGGTCGGACGGCTTGCGCTTGAAGACCTCCAGCCTGTTGGCCTCTGTGGGAGTCATCAGCGGGAGTCGTCAAGATATTCAAATGAATCAAAAGCTTACCGATTGTTGACTTCAAATCCTCCCAATCGTGCGGTTTGAACTCTTCGTCCGTGAGAGCCAGCACCGCCTTGTCCGTCTCAGTGAGCGGGAAAGGGGTCTCTGCTGGTGCTGGGTCACCCATGATGAAGGTGCTCGCCTAGCTCGTGACGCGGGGTGTGTTCTGTCTCGAGATGCAACAACAGGTAAAAGGAAGCACCAGCCAAGGCTGCACTGCAAGTTGGATCTGTAAAGACAGTCGAAGATGGATGAAAACGGAACACTAGGAAGTACGATTCTATCGCAGAACTCAAGTCAGAGCTAGATTTGATGAGTCGTCCAGTCAGTCTGTCTGGTTGCTGACCGACTGGCTGCCTGGGGACCACACTACTACCCCTCATGGCCATAGCGGGATCCATCTGCCCCCATTGAGGTGCCCCCATTGGCGCGTTTCGGCCGCCCAACTCTCATGTCTGGATCGACAAGGTGGTACCAGCAGCCTGGCGGAGCGACGGCCATCTCGAACAAAGCTCCATCACCTCACGCGGCACACTGCCACTGCCGCTGCTGCACCGGGACGAGCAGCTTTTTGCCCCGGAACGCAGCAATCGGGATATCACCTCTGGGCAAAGAACAAAGAACCAAAACAATGGTCCTGCCCGTGCATGGCATTCTGGGCGCCCCGTCACCGAGTCTTCTTCCCCTCCGAGACGGCAGCATCGCCTTTCCGGCGGCTCGCGAGCGCAGCCTCGGCCGTCTCCTTCTCCTCCAATGCCTGGAACGCCCTGCTCGTAGCTCTGAGGCTTTGTACGAGGAGGACTGCATCGCATTAGCCGGCATTCGAACCTCCCGATCGCCAGGTTTCCTCGGGGTTTGTTGTATTCGACAAAACGGAGAAGTGGGAGGAAGGGAGGGAACTCACTGAGCGGCACAACAACCCAAGGCGCGTTGAACCCGACATAGTAGACCCAGAAATACAGCACCTCCGGCCGGCTGTGCATCGTCCCGACTAGGGCCCGCTCCGCGAGGCTCGTGGAGTAGTACAGCGCTACGCCGTACAGGTGGCCCACGCATATGACGAGCTGCAGCGGGTGGCGGAGGCGGCTGCCCGAGAGAATGGCGAATGTGACGGAGAGGGAGATGGGGCCCCAGATGATCTGGGAAAGAGAATCTCGTCAGCGCTTGGTCTGCCACATGCATCACGGGAGACCCAAAGGGCTAGTTGCCTGCCGGCCTTGCGAAGCAAGTGACCGATAGAACGGAGGAGGGGCGGAAGAGACGCACAACGGTGAGAGCCTCGACGCAAACCATAAACGGGTCGGACGTCAGGTAGCGTGAGTCGGAGAGGGCGTATTCCTTCCACGCCTGGGCGAAGAGCGACTGGAGACCTGCCAACGTCGCATGGTTCCAGACAAAGTAGCCTGCCGGGTATCAGTGCCGCCCACCTCGTGGGTAGCCGACCCCTGGCTGAGAAAGACTCACCTTCAAAGCAGCAATGCAAAAAGGCGCCGAGGGCAAACCAGCACACGGCGAAGCGGTCGAGGCCTCCGAGGGAAGGCTTGATCAGTCGCGATGTCACAAAAGCGATCGGTATAGGCAGAAGCAGGACGGCGACAAAGGGGACCAGGACTTGAGGGAGGGGCGTCTCGTTCGCGGCGTAGTGGGGGATGAGGATACCCAGGGGGTAGTAGGGGTGTGTGGACGATATGTCTCCCGCATCACGGTTGGCCATGACTTCCCAGTGAGCCTCGGGGCTTTGACGTTACGACAGACAACGGGAATACTCGGCGTTCGCGGTCTTCAATGGCTGATGGGACGATTTCAGGCAGAGTCTATCTGTCGAGAAGCAGTTGAGATTGCGAGATGCGATGCACACACCGACAAAAGTAGGGGGAAAAGTGGAGCATATACTTTCTTGGTGAACACCGCGAGTTGGCAGAAAAGGGGGACAGGAAACATGCTTGTAGATAGGCATTTGTCACATCGGCTCAAGCAATGTTGCTGTTGGCAAACGAATGCCGTGAGAGCAGTCGATGACGCCTGTGAGAACATGATATTTTCTGTTTTATCATAACACCAGTATTCCAGTCAGTTCCATTCACGTATATCGAACCCATCACCAGCAGCCTCCGCTTCCATAAAAATCAACACTTGAACTCCTCTCCATCGCTATACTCTTTCAAAATCCCCTTCAAGAGTGTTTTTGTTGCGATTTCCTTCCGCAACAAGTTCTTTGGGTCCAAAAGACCACATAGAGCTAGATCGCTTTCCAGTAACGCGTCAACACTCTGTGGCGTGGACCCGATGACCTTCGCCAAACACTCGCAGTACATGCTACGGTCGTACCTTCCTAGGCCCCAGAACCGCTCTCCATCACCCGTCCATGCGATAACGTACCCTGCCAGGCCAATCCATATCAGGACTGGCTTCATGACCGCCATGGCTGGGAGTCCGTCGTCGAAGGCGGCATCATCTTCATATTCCCACCCTCGCGCCGCCAGGCGCTTGAGTATGGTATCAATGGCCGTCGTGAGAAGCCCCAGAAGTACCGCATACCCGTTTAGTGTCCTTGGCTCGTCAGGGACGAGCGCATCAACATAGAGCAAGCCAGCGAGACGCAACGCCGGCTCGAGGATGTTGTCCGCGTGAGCGGGCACGAGCTTACCCGGCGCACAGTATCGTGACCCTCTAACTAAGGGCTCCTTGTAGCGACGCTCGCCCAGGTTGAGATCAAGCTCAATACTTGGGATCTGTGTGCTCTCGTCACGTAGCACACCTGGGAAGCGGATGAGCTGGTACATGACCCATAGCCACTCTTCGATAAAAACCTCCGGGTCATAGAGAATGGTGCGCTTCTTGGCGGCCAGGGCTTTTGAGACGGCATGACTGAAAAGAACGAGACTGGCAAAGGATTCGCATATGACCTCCTGCACATTACAGAAAGCCAGGATCCCCTTGACAGCCTTGGAGAGGCGTGCGCGCGTTGTCCTCGGGAGAGAGTCTGATATGTTGCCGTATATCCTCTCATACTCGAGGTATGGTATGGTGGCTAACGCGGCCGCGGCCTTCACATTGGCTCTATGTGCTTCGTCAGTACTTCATCCATGTATGCTGAGCAAAACTGTAGAAGGACGTACCGTCGCACTTTGTTCATTACATAGGTCCATTCTTTGTCTATGCCACCAGTCATCTCAAGAATTTGCTTCAGTCCCTTCATGTGCATGTGCCAGTGGTCGTGCCGACCTAGGTGGGCCTGTGATCATACAGTGTCAGCCATCGTCACTCAGTATTGGGCACCGCTTACGGAGACCATACACTTCCAACGGCCATAGAACAGATGCACTCCATAATGCCGTGGGCCTCCTGACCACGAAGTCTCGCGATTTTCCGCAGTTCTCCATTGACGACGCCACAAGCATAAGACTCCTGCTCGAGCATGTCGTCACTGCACCGTTCGCCCTTGAGAACAGCCTCCACCAAACTCCCTGCCACAATTACGGAGACAAGAGAATTCGGTGTGACTTGCAACCTTTCGAAAAATTTCGGCGACCGAGTCGGGTTGTGACTGAGAATGCATTCAAGAGGATACATCTTGAAAGGGATAAATCGCATGTATAGGTGAAGTAGTTTCTGCTTGCTCACGGACATTGGCACAGAATAATTGTGGGTTGCCCATACTTCAGCACGCCAAGAGGTTGTGCTTAGATAGGGTGTGCTTTGGTAGCATTGCTGGAATTCTTCAAGAGCCTTCTCAAGCGACTCGACTTCTTCCGAGGATGCGAGAGATGGATCGTAAAGATATATCGGCCCGACTTGGCTCGATAGAATGCGAGGGGCGTTGTTCTGCGCTTTCCGTGGCTTACTTCTCTTGTTGCTGTCGATTTGAATAGCTCGCGTTGTTTTATTGGGCTGGGAGACCCGTGGTTTCCTCGGCTCTTGATTTTTAGTGACAAACTTGAAGCGTCTCTCCAATGGCTGCGACAGATCAACCAGATCGGTACTGCGGCTCAATCGAGTTTGTGGGGCCGCCTCTGATGTTTGCTCGGGGCCAGCAATGATGTTGACGAACGAGATCCCATTATGTTTCGCTTTTGATACCTGGAGTCCTCGCCTGGTGGTCACCAGGGCGCCACCCTCAACGGTGCAGTTATTGAAGTTGTCCATTTGCCTCGTAGCTCTTGGAAGTATAGAGTCCAAGTTGTGCCTCGAAAGTGCGAAAAAGGGTGGAATATATGAGCTGCACTGTCGGATGGTAGACCCTGGATATCCGTGAAGCCAGGACCATGTGGCCCGATATGGAGTCAGCGGCCGTGTGTGACAGTGCACCTTATGTGCACAGCCACGGTATAACAGCGCGCGCCAGGAGGGGATAGAAGTCTTTAAATTGATGGTCGGACCTAGACCAATGGAATGGAACACCAGAAACACCTGGGATGTGAGAGCGTAATTCGATGCGCACTTTGTCGGCGACTTCTTGCACGTGGTTTGACGTGAGCCCACGGGTCACCAGGGATCGGGTAGAACCCACTTGGCGGTCAGAGCCCTATCGGACTGACCAGCCGCAAGCTTTGAAGAGATGGGTTCGACAGTGTCAATCCAGGTCTTTTTAGAAAGTCGCGGGTGCTGAAGCCATAGGAGTCTGGCCGCCTGGATTCAGTCGGTGTTGGCCGCTGCACGTCAGATTATAGCGTGTGGTGTTCGACGCTGCTGCACAGTTGCCGATCGCTAAAGGCGTCGAGGTCCTTTGCAGCAAGTTTGCCGCTGCACAAGCCAGGGGGGCATGTCATCACGCCGTCACAGGGGCTGTGTTGGGATAATTAGGTAGGTTTAGTCCGCAATTGTGAAAGTATACAGCGCTGATTGCCAGCTTGATTATCAATGCATAGCAGGGTCGGGTGAAGAGGTCCTTAATAATAAACCTGGCCGCGCATGAGTACTCGTGCGGTACGGAGAAGGTCGGCCGAGGCGATCCCGGCCTCGCCGCTCATTGTCGTTCCAATCTCGACCCTGCCGCTGGGATGAGCAATGACGACAGCAGACTGCGAGCTCCTCCTCGTTTCTGGCAGGAGTTGATACGCCAGGGTGTCGGGGATACGACACGAGGCGCCCAGGCACAGTGCCAAGGTCAGGGGCACAGCCTTATGAGCCTGGCCCATGGACAACGCCAGACAGCGGACATCTACGTCCGAATCGGCGCCAGACAAGTTGTCGCGAGGGAAGAGAAGGACAATTTTGGGAACGCTCTCAATAGATGGATCTAGACCCATGGCTGCGGCACCGGCAGCCCTAATGTTTGCCAGCTTAGCCTTCAGCGGCAAGTCCGCTTCAACCGAGTCCGGATTGAGGCTCTCGTGGTTCGGCAGGTTGAGGTCGGCCACTCGGATGAAGACGCCCGGATTGCTGACGTCGACGAGTGACGCTGCAATGGATGATCCGTCATCGAGGCGAAGAATGTCCACGGGGTTGCCCGTCGGCAGAGCCTTGCCTGTTTTGGCACCAGCAGGGTCGATGAATTTGAGTGTGATTTTGCTGCTGGGACCAGGCACCCCGTCCATGATGTAATCACCATGCGGGACGAAACGGGGTGGACTACCTTCGACGCGAAATTGCGAGACGATCGTCTTGGAGGTGTTGGTGTTGAATATGCGGACGGATGCTACAGTGTGGCCGTCGACAGTAGTGAGCTGTGGGGTTTTGACGAGACCTTCATCAAGACTCATGGGCCCAACGACAGACGAGAGATTACCACAGTTGCCCGCCATGTCGAGCTTTCCGTCTTTGATGCCGACCTGTACGAAGGTATAGTCGACATCAACGCCAGGGCGTGATGGTGGCGAGAGGATGATGATCTTGGAAGTAGACGATATGCCAGAGCCCATGCCGTCCAATTGCCTGCCGTAAGGGTCTGGCGAACCCATGGCAGCAGGTAAAACGGTGTGCCATTCTTCCTCGGGAGGGAGGTCGCTCCTGCGTATGACGAGGCCATTGGATGTGCCGCCACGCATGAAGATGGCAGGGAAGCTACGGTTTGCAGGTCGGGACGATGATTTTGAAGATGTAGAGAATGTCTGTTGAGACCAAGGAGGGGCTGGCAGGCTTCGAGCGGTCGCCCAGACCGCCTGTCGTGGCGCCGCTGCAGCATACCGAAACATGCCTGACATGCCGGGCGTGATGGAAGAATCACGGGTTGCGAGGCTATTCGAGGATGGCGTCAGGGCTGTAGAAGACGGAGGTTAATGTACAATTGCTTTCAACTTGAGGTACAGATCTGCCAAGACCCAAACAGCAGCCGAGGCAAGGAACGCCAGGGATCGGGAAGGAGAACAGTGAGCTAAATCCGCTGCTAGTGCCTCACCATAGGTATTGTTTTGGCAGCTGCGTCCCGAGAGCTTGGGCCATCACAGCTGCCCTGGCCTAAAACGGTAGGCCTTAGCAGGAGCGAGGCGGCTCTGCTACTTATTCCATAATGCCTCCTTACCTTACCTTACCTGGTAGGTAGATACAACCTGGCCGAAGAAGGTATCCAATACCAGCTCCTCTTCACCTGCCTACTGCGCATAACGTACGATTACCTCGATATCCTTCGCGTAGGTACTTCGTCGACAACTGTGATCGTGTGCAAGCCAAAGAATCGCGTCTTGTCATGTCACATTTTAGCTGCGCCCTCAAATGTACACGAATGAGCCTCAACTCATCGTATCATCTGGCCGAACTCGGCACCGTCCGCAGTCTGCGCCCTCCACATCCCAGAGCATCAATTACAGGCGACATGGCGGCGCCGGAGCCTGAATTTGGTACTTCAACGATGACTACCTAACTTGACTGTCGTGACCCCATATCACATCAAAGCACCTGTATCTCTCTGCCCGCACCCGGCCTCCACCAGTCACTCCCCCGAGGTTGTCTAAGTCCAGGCGAACAACTTTTCACCTGCAAGACACAATTTTAGAAGTACAAAACGTATCAGAATATGATGACTTCCAGTATTCACCTCATCGCGCCCCGCCTCGAGAAGACCCTTGGCTGTCTTCTGAAGCGAGCCAGGAGCATCTCTTCCCTCGATGATCGGCCCTTCCACCACGGCCCCGCGTTCGTTGTTCACCCGGACCCGACCATCACCATCGTCTCCTCAGACTGTGGCCCTTCTCCCGCCGAACTACACGCCGAGTACCTCCACAACGACCTCTTCAAAGAATGCGGTCGTATGCCCTGTTTGTCATGGGACTGTCCAGCGTCTCTCAAGGACGAGGTCCGCGAGTGGCTGCTCATTATCGAGGACCTGGATGCCCCGTGGTGCAGGCCTATTGTTCACGGCTTATATGCCGGTATACCGGCCGTAAAGCTGAGCCTTGAACCAGAGGACTTTGTTGTCATCGATGACGAAAAGTGCACACTCGACGGCGGCTTTCATTTTGGTCGCAACAGCGAAAGAAAAGTGTACACGGCGCCGAAACCCATGTTGAATCATGGACTGCATCGGTGTAAGAAAATTGCCAGTGTAGAATCTCCTGTCTTGATTTGTTACTGACACGGTGTCGTTGAAAGATTCATTTCAAGTCGTGGCCCTCAGTCAACGGTTGGACGTGACACTTCTCCAGTCGAGGGCTACGAGGAAGGAATACAGCAAAGCCATTCAAGGTTTGGTGCTTGGTTGGGGCGTGTGGATAGCGAGCTGCGAGAGGCGCTGGGAGTAGACCTGATGGTCCTGATGACGCTGGTGATACCCGTGATATGAAGCCTTTGGCCACGAAATAGATCACAAACCATGTTACAACTGAACACAGTCTGCTGTTCCCCCCCTCTTCTTTTTACCCTTGCCCCGTGCTGAAATCCGGAATGGTCGTGTACTACGAGCAAATTCAGACATCTTGTGAGGCAACCTACAAAGTGTGTGGCTCACCGTTGCGTATTTACTTTTATAGCCAGTACGTATCACGTGCGATGATATCGATTTGAACTTGAACGAACTGACTCACAGTTGCGCAGAAAGATAGTCCAACACCGGGTTAGGGTTGGGACATAGTTTGTAGCTGAAGTATCTGCGGCCGGTAAGGACATTCCTCCGCACCTAACTTTCCCAAACATAACTTCGCGAGATCAAATACATAGAGCAGCTGGATTTCTCTGATTGTGTTTCTCGGCCATCAAAGTCATAAAGCAGCAACAACCCCACTACAACAAGAGATCACCATGAACATAGGTGTTCAACGCAGACGAGCCACTTTCTGCACCAACAACATGGACACTTCTATCATTACCATCACGGGAAGTGAATCGACCGTTGAGAGAATTGGAATGGGCCACTGCGGATCCGTCTGGGCCAGTCAATCCAGCATCGCCCTCAAACGTGAGGATGGCGGCCCTGGCCAGTCTCTACTTGATGAACATGGCATCCATCGTACACTCCTCCGAGCAGCGATTGGTGCTCGCCAGCTATCATTATCCTCAGCACAGAATCATCAGATCAACATCCCATTTTGCCACGGCTTTCTCACCGCTGACGACACCGCTTGGTCTAATTAATTGTCCCAACTGCCAGAAGACTACACCTCTTGCGATGCCCTGCTCTCTGAGCGCAACCCCCCAGTACAAGAGTCTGCTCGCCGCCTCCTCGTCGAGAAGTACTGCCCCGAGCCTTCACGCGAAAGCATGCTCGCCGATCCTAAGAATGAAGACTGCATCATCCGCGCCTATCTCGGCCGCCGTCGCTTTCGGCCGAGGGCTGCCTCGCGCTTCGCGGCTTTCAGTCTGAGAAACTACCCTCTCCACGCGGACCAGATGGATGATCTCGGGCTTGATCAACCGATATATGCGGCGGCTGTCATGCCACAGGCTCTGGCGTTTATGCATTGGAGGGCTCGAGTGGATGCAAATGATGTCTAGTTTGTGCTCGCACCAGCTCGGGGCCTGAGCGAGGGTGCAACATTTGCTCCTGATGGAAAGGTGTTTGACCAATGCTCGTTAGGGAGTCATGTTCTTTAGGTATTAGATTTTGATTGTTGTCGAAAGCTTTCAATGGATGAGGAGGGCGTTGCGCATGCTGTTGTCAAGTTTTACAGATCCGTTTATCCGAGTCCGGGGACAGGATCGGAGGCTGATGAAAGGCACTGGGAGTCGTTTTGGGAGGCGCACCTCGAGACTAGCGACCTGTTACTGATGAAAGAGGATGAGAGAGTGCAGAAGTTGCCATTACTTTTCGTGGACGAGGTTGTAAGGCGGGTGAGCGAGTTCAAGAGAACAATAATACAGAATAGCAATCAGACATTCTTCGTCTTTCGATCATCAAGTATAAGGTAGTGACAGTACATCGTTATACGACTAATTACTAAACGCTCTCTCGCAGATCTTAGTCTGCGTCCAGATCCCATAATTACCATTAATTTTCCACTTTTGATCAAGTCGCCACACATAACAGTAGTAAATACCTTGGTTTGCAGGCTAGTATCACCTCTGGTCATTGCAGGTCATCATACGTACGGCAATCAATATGACTGGCTTCTCTGCATATCCACTGTTCAATTTTTTATGTTCGTTAAGCCTTTCTGCCTTCAAGGCATGTTTATTCTCTGTAATCATCATGGATATCTACGATGTGCATTGTTTCCTACCTTTCGTATATTCAAACCATTGTCTATTACAACCGTTCATCGCTAATCTGCCTCGTCTATCTTCGCCTGTCCACAACTGAGAATTCTATCCTGGCATCAAGAGGCTCGGCTCGCCGCCCGCTCTTGCGCTCCCTTCCCAGTCAAAATCGTCCATAACATCCATCAACATGGCCCAGTCCACATCCTGCATCAAATCTCCAACCGCAACATCCTCGGCGGTGACAGAAGCTACATTTGTTAGTAGGAAACCGTACAAGGTGGCCACCAACTCCTCCAAAACAGCAAAAAAAAAAAAAAAAAGACTAGAACTCACGAGCATCATCACCCCCCTGGCCGATCTGCGCATCCCGCTCCGTCCTCAAAGCATCCAGCCGCCTCCTCCACCTTTTGACACACCCGAACGCCCCCAGCGCCCCGACCCGCCTCGGACACTCCGTCACCGGGGCCTCCAGCGCGCCCAGCCGATGGCGCACCCCCCAGCACGTCTCCAGCAGCCTCAGGACCCAGCTCGCGAGGTCCCCCTCCCGCACGACGCACCGCCCCACGACTCCCAGCACAGCCCGCACCTCGGCATCCGGGTCCTCCACCCCGTCGGCGAAGCCCGACATGAGCGCGTCGAAGACGACAGCGACGGCATCAAACACGGTACGATGAATGTTGTATGGCGCATGCCCGAGGAACCGCGGCCCCGTCCGCCCTGGGTCGCCGTCC